TTTACATAAATATATTTCATTTTCCCCTTCCGGTTTCACCGGAAGTGATAATACCTTTTGATTTTCAAATGGAACAACCTGTATATCACTGCATTTTCGAATTCTGCATTATTTTCTGAATCCAATGAAATTGTCAAAAATGTCAAATTTCTTGATTTATCAAAATGGTTTGGTGTACCATGATCCTGTTACACACCCGGTATTATTGGAAGCATTAGAGAGCAACTACAAATAAAATGAACATATTGTACAAATACGCAACATATTAGCACCACATTTTTAATATTGAGGTTTGATATACTTTTTATGAAACAACAAACTCTTGAATCTTAGATTATTTTCATAAGGAGAGAGTAAAAATTTACTTCAAGATCCAAAGCAGAAAACTTATTGAGAGGAATTGACACTCATAAATGGTAAGATTTATATACTTAGATAATGAAAATTATAATAAATATTACATATGAAATGAAACGAATAAAATAAAACAGTACATTTGAAATTTGAAAGGATAAAAATGCAAACAAAAGAGTATGAAAATGTGAATGGATCTTTTTGTGTAGTAAGATTTATGTTCAAAAAGTGATAAAAAAAAATAGGTATCCTTTATTTCCAGGTACATATTGTTGTGATTTGTTCTGCTTTATCCTAAAGAAAAGAACGCGATTTGAATTTTGTGAAATGTGAATGTGAAGTTTCCAAAACAATATGGGCTTTGGAAATTCTACTGACTCATAAAAAAAAGATTCGAATTTGGTGGATTTTGGTTGGATGACATACCATCATAAACGTAAAAAGGATCTGTAGTATCTAGACTAGTTTCATGGATGGAAATTGATAATTTTAAATTAATAAATAAATTATATAATATAAATGCTACAACCTGAAGATAGGTGCAAAAATAGCAGTTTTGATAGCACTTGAGTATTCTCTAAGCTAGCTACTCAATTTCTCACTGATTTCCACATGGAAAAATGGAAAAACTTTTATTTTGAATGAAATAGCTGTCCAGCGAAGTTCTCCAAAAAGCCACTCATACTTCCCAAGCCACCCACGGAAGGACCGCCTCCAAACTGAGGTTGCTGTTGCTAGATAAAAAAACATAAAAAATCCCATTATGTACTGACAAGCAGGTCTGGAAAACATTGAGATAAAATTCGAAAATACTCTTAGTTCTTTTATAACTAACTAGCAGACCTCGCAAACGTTGTTTTGCTACATACATTATTTCTATAATATATTTTTTCAGTTCAATATCCATCAAGAAACTATTATTATTTTATTTTCTACTTCTTTTTAGTTTCGCTATCTATGAAAGCGTGTTTCTTTAGTTTTTCAAACTACCATTTATTTCAACTTCTTTTTAGTTCACGTGAATTTCCCAATTTTGACGAAAGAATGATAATATTCGACTTCTAAAACCCCAGATGAAAATTTTTAATAGAATCGGAACATAATTACAAAACTCGCCCGCAATATTGGGTCCGTCATCTTGCATCTCCTAATTTTGACGAAAGAATCATAATCTCCGACCCCGAGAACCACTAGATACCAAATTTGAATAAAATCGGATCCTAATTACAAAATCCGCCATTTTGGATCCGCCATCTTGGATCTGCCATCTTGAATTTCTTAATTTTGACGAAGGAATCATAACTCCCGATCACGAAAACTCCTACCGATTTTGAAAAGAATCTGATTATAATTACAAAACTCGTCCGCCATATTTTGATTGATTGTCTTTATTACCCCAAGGAACATTATTGTTTTTAATAGGGATATATGGTTCCGTCATCTTGAATTTCCAAGTTCCGCCCGAATTTTCAAATTCTGACAAAAGAATCATAATCTCCGACCCCGAAAACCCCCAGATACCAATTTTGGATAGAATCGAACCATAATTACAAAACTCGTCCGATATATTATATCCACCATTTTGAATTTACTAATGGTACCGGGATAACAAGTATCCTATAACCTTCCCCTGGCTCTAAGCTACCTCCCCACCAATTTTCAGCCAAATCGATTGAGTAGTTTCGGAGCCTATTCGATACATACAAACAAACAATCAAATCTTATATTCCAGATTCCAGGGCGGCCTAATGAAATTATTTTTTGAAATAGAAAAAACAACATTGCATTATCCGAAAACTCACTTGTTGATGCTGTCTCCCAGATAAAAGTCCGGAAAGAAGATTCTCAATTGGGCCTCTTTGTTCCGTTTGTGAAGGTTGTGGATAATATCCGTATTGCTACAAAATCACAAGGCATTAATTAATGAACACTTTATGACCTTATTACTTCATGACATCCCTTGATCAACTATAACCTCTGCGAACCAACGGACCATATTTTCAAGGGTAAGTCATTTCGTATAGTTAGGTTAGCTCTACAAAGAACAACTTCATGAACAGTTTTTCAAATAAATGACACTTGCAAAAGACAGAGCATTCAATGAATGACAGTAACTTTTCCCACCAAATAGCACAAAAATGTCTTACCCTTTCCAACTGGAATATGATTAATTTTACTCCCGCTACTTTTTTAGTCACAACACAACGAATAAAAGCACATTAGAGTTCATGCAAGCTGCTGACAACAATAAAACTGACCAGTGCATTGTGTTCCATCTAAATACTAGCCCCAAAAATAATAGTGCTTTTTTTTGCAACTTCCTTGATATTGTTGATAGATCTCACCTGTGAGTTGTGTTTCCCTGTTGACCAACTTCATTAACAACATAATCCCAATGGCTTGTTTCCGGAGCTTCATATATTTTTCGGCAACCTGTTGCATGGTTATTGGTGATAACCAACCACCTGTGGGCGTTGTACCTTCACCTATTGCAGGATCTCCACTGAGTTTGGCTGAGATTTTCTTCAAATCTACCTGAGATTCTTGTTATTTGGGTTGGACTTTCAAAGTCTCAATATGAGACATTCTGTCTGTCAGTAGGACTTTCTCCAATTTATTGTGATTCCAATATGATACCAATGTTGCATCTGTGCAGGTGGCACTTGTTTGTGATGCTGAGTACCAACATTCTTCAGTGATTTTGATGATCAGTTCGTAAAAAATTGAGTTTCCTATGATATATTGTTCAAGAATTTCAATCAATTCGAGATTTATCTAAGCAGAAAGCAGAGTGTTATGACTTAAAACTACAAATATGTAAATCATTTTGTTTCTAATCTCATGTGTCTTATTATCTAAATAATCTCTTATATTTCTGTGATCTGTTATTTGGAAAACGAGTAAGCAACAACCCAGGAAGTTTCGGATGATTTTTTTCCGAAGAAAGTAGTAAGTCTTTGGTGGATTTTGGTGATTCCTTTCGAATTGAGGCTTATGTTTTTTATCGAAATTTTGCAGCTCGAATGTTTGATCCGATAAGATCCAACAGACTATACGGGCATATTCGGGATCTTTGTATTTTCCTAACGCAAGGGATGAAGGTAGCTTATAATGCAATGTCTTTTAGGCAACCCTAAAGAAAAAATCTGATACAATGATGAACCAGATATTCATAACATAAATTATAATGACTCAAACATGGAACATATTGGGCAAAAAGGTGGAAATATTGGCACAAGATTTCAAGAACATATTGCTCACTTCAGGACCAGGTATAATCAAGTGTTGCCCAACATACTCTTAGGACTAGTCACCATATCAGTTTAGATACATTTCTTGAAAACGTAACGAACAATAGATGATTGAACAGTTTGGAACGTATTTACATGATTCGCATGAATATTTTATAATCGTAGGAAATGAAGTCACATCACATCAATTACCTATGTAATATACGATTTCGGAATTCTAGCAACTCAAATAACACTTTTTTTTTGAGAAAAATCAAATGAAGTTTCTGACGAGAACTCGAATCCTTTCCATGATAAGGCAATTTTTCCGTGTGAAAATATGTCTGGCGAAATGAGAGGCACAACTCCTATTGGTGAAGAGTTACTCTAAAGTTTCCGGTATGATGTAGATGAAATTTGAAGGATTCGTATTCTACTCGAGGTTTAAATGAGGTGTAAAATAAATATTTCTTCCCAAACAAATAATCAAATAAGTCAATGTTTCCATGAATATTCGAATCCTCCCATGCCCATGAAATAATTCGAAGACACCCTGGACTGCCTGGATTGCTGATTACCCGTTACATCACAGAAAGCTTTTTTCAATAATGAAGGAATACTAACCTGATTATGTTATGTATTCCTCTATTCAAAATGTTCTTTCATGTTAAATTAATAATTATGATAGCTACTATACAGGGTTATTACATTTTCTCAATAACATTCATAGGGCAAGAAAATCAAGGGTGCATTCCTCGCAAAAAATAGAATAAATGATACATTTATTTCTCTTTTCCAAAGACCTGTAGTTTTTGGGATACAGAGAGTCAAGAGTTCACAGGTAAAGGGAAATATTTCGATGATAGGGGTCGCCAAGGTGTTTAGGAAAATTCCATATTTGTGATGAGTCTCACAGTCTTTATAAAGGACATTGGAATTCTCAGACACCGAACACGCAATGAACACAGATGGTTCGAAACCCCCTCTTGGAGTTGGAGCCGGTGTGATCAATAGAAAATCGAAGACGGATATCTATGTCAATCTCGGTATTATATCAGACAGTCAGGCTGCAAAGCACTGAAGAAGAATACAGTGTATTTATTTTATATTTCGAATGAATGTGAATTTTTCCTGAAGCCGAACCTGTATTTCCATTCAGCCCGATAGGTCAGTGAATTCAACGTCCCAAGTGCAAACCCCATACCAAATTTGAGAAAAATATACTGGGTAGTTTAATACTTATGGATGTGTGAATAATTATACAAAATTGATAAATCACCCTGTATCTCCGTTATAAAGACTGTAAGACTCATCAAATATGGTATTTTCAGAACCACGTAAGCGACCACTATCTACCATTGAAATATTTCCCTTTATCTGTGAAACACCCTAGATAATTAGATTTTTTAAAATTTTGTAGATGAAATATCTTCATTCGATTGAGCAATTCGAACTAATTTAATTACTTCTTTTTTTACAAATCAAGAGAATAGGAACATAAAAGCTGAATTATTTTGTTTACTCATTTACTCAAATTGTTGTGTCAAATCAAACCGAAAGCTGAATGAATTTCATTATGTGGGGCGGACTGTTGAAGAAGTTGATTATTTTACTAAATACCCTGTATCTCGAAAAATATGGGTCTTTGAAAAGCAGTTGTCTATGGTTTTTTTTTTCATTTCTTCGCAAGAAATCCACCGTCAAATTTTTCTATCATTATAATGTATCACCCTAGAAAAAATACTGTAGTGCAAATAGTAATCTATGGTGAACAAGAAACCAAGAATAAATAATCAAAACCCTCAAACTTTTTTTCCACCTTCTCGTGCAATCAGTTGGGCCAACTGATCCGTAACATCCTCGTAATCCCCTTGGCTCATTTTCGGTGCTTCCCTATTCCCCCCAGGGGGTACTTGACCACCACCAGTACCCTGTTGCATCCCACCTGTTGCATTAGGATAACCACCTGTCTGCGCTTGACCTCCGCTCAAGGGCACCTGTTGACCTCCCGGAGCACCCGGAGCTCTATTCCCTTGCCCCCCACCCGACAGAAGCCCGTTCAACAGCGAATTCAAGTCGAACCCCCCACCTTGACCTTGGCCTTGACCTTGAGAATGTTGATTCTGCGGTACCGTCGGTGCTACACTCGGATTGGTTTCTTGTATGGGCCTAGTCTGGATATGCGACATCAATCCCGTCAAAAGAGCGCCCACATCGACATTATGTTGCTGCGTAGTACCTTGGGTACCAGGCGCTTGCCCAGGTTGTTTTTGTTGACTGGGACCCAACAAGCCTCCTAGCAGAGAGCCCAAGTCCACGCCTTGAGAATGCTGGCCGGCAGGCGCCGTTTGCTGAGTAGTACCATGCGATGATGGTACCTGCCCTGGCTGTTGTTGGTTTCCATTGGACAACAGACCGGACAGGAACGATCCGATATCTCCTTGGTTCTGCTGGGTACCGCTTTGTTGTGGAGGCGGTACCTGTCCTTGTTGTTGGGGCGGTACCTGCCCTTGTTGTTGAGTACCACCTGATAACAGGCCTCCCAGCAGGGACCCGAAGTCTACTCCTTGGTGCTGTGCGTTTCCAGGTACGTTTTGTTGGGTACCGCCTTGTTGTTGGGGCGGTACCTGTCCTTGTTGTTGGGTACCGCCTGATAGGAGACCTCCCAGCAAGGACCCGAAGTCAACTCCTTGTTGTTGTACGTTTCCAGGTATGTTTTGTTGGGTACCACCTTGTTGTTGGGGCGGTACCTGTCCTTGTTGGGGCGGTACCTGTCCTGGTTGTTGGGTACCACCTGATAATAAACCGCCTAGCAGGGACCCGAAGTCTACTCTTTGCTGTTGTGTGTTTCCAGGTAAGTTTTGTTGTGTACCGCCTTGTTGTGGAGGTGGTACCTGTCCTTGTTGTTGGGTACCACCTGATAATAGGCCTCCCAGTAAGGACCCGAAGTCTACTCCTTGGTTTTGGGAGTTCGCAGGTACGTTTTGTTGAGTATTGCGTCGTGTTGGCGGTACCACATCGGGTTGTTGGGGTTGTTGGTTTCCGCTTAGAAGACCGGACAGTAATGCTCCGAAATTTACGTTTTGTTGTTGGGTGGTTTGTTGTTGGGCGCCAGGTTGTGATGGTTGTTTGTTGCCGCCTGACAGTAGGCCTGACAAGAGGCTTTCTACCGGCCCGGGAGCTTGTTTTTTGTCTTGGTAGTTGGGATCGAGGTCTTTCGGAAGATCTGGGTAGATTCCATATTTCTATTCGATAATGTTCGTGTTAGGTTCATTGAGGGAGAACGTGTGGTTTTGTAAGTTTTTCCGTACTAAATTGTCCAATTCTGCCCAGTGTTAGGTTATTTATCTCAAATGTAATCATGCATTTTGGTTAAAACGTTAGATTCTCATACATGGAGTAATCCATCACCAAATTCGAGATAATGCGGGTTATGATTTCCCTCAACCAATAGGCAATTCGGTGTGAGAAATGAAAATTTGTAATCTTCCAAATCTCAAAGGAATTATACACTATAATGACAAAGTTGATGCAGATGAAATTTGTGATAACTTCAATTTTCCAAAGCCACATAAAATGACGATTATTTATGAAGCAGATTTACAAGATAATCTTGAAGAAATAGGCAGTGATCTAGGTTAGAAAAAATAGATCCCAGAATAAATATTATAGTTACCTTGTTCCACGAAAAACAACTAAAAAATAAGGGGTGAATTCTACTTTCACTTATATGGCTTTATATGGCTTCTACTTCTAGTGTAGCAATATTTTGCAGAAATGAGTTTCATTGTTTTTTGATGACATAACTTGATTTTTTTATATGACTTTCTCTGTTTACATAATGTCATGAACAGAGACAACTATGGAAATAAAATCAACTTTAGCAAGTTTAGCAACACAAACGAACAGACCTCGAGCTAAGTATGTGTCAAAATATCCATGTTCTTAAGGATTGTGATGGAATGTCATTTGGAAATAAATGTCAAACAACTCAAGCAAATGAGATAGAAACATAGACCCACTTGAATATACCCAGGTATATGTTTCAATAGGCCAAAAATTCCTTTCCTAATGAAAAGTATGTGCCTTCAATGGCCAAAATCTGTATCATCATGAAAATTTGTGTTGAAATGAACACTATTAAGAAATCAGTAGCAGATATTTGATTCGCATACAGTAGTAGCAAAAAACTCATATTGTGTACCTCTAGGAAGTTTACATCTTGGGATAAAAGCTGTCATTATTTTCAACACAGTTCAAACTACAATTCTCAACAGTTTTATTATTGTGGCGTATCATTATGATAAAAGAAGTCAATAGATTCCAAATCACATACAGTAAAGTGAATGAAAAATGAATGAAAACAGCAAAAATTGTGGAAACAAATTAACGCAATGCACTGGTGTGGTGACACTAGGCAAAATAGGCAGTTAGTATGAAAAAACACAAAAAGCAAATGTAAGGGTGGCTATGTTCACTAAAATGGGTGTGAATGTTCTAATAACCATAAACAAAATGAAGTTTTCAATTCCAGAATGATGGAAACAGTATCAATGTTACTTATGTATTCAGAAATTACATGTTTTTGAATAAAATGATGTGAAACTTCGGTAATTTTGCACTTATCATGCGATGGGTTTTTTTTGAAAATTATTTTTGGTACTTACGTGTTTTTGTCTGAAAAACACGAATTTGATGATGAAAATGTGAACAAATCATTATTTATCAAGATATTTCACTATAAAGCTAAAAATTTCACCTTCTTTTCCGCCTGTCTTCTGGATCGCATTTAGAACACTTTGCCCTTCTTTTTCCATCATTGGACAATTTATATATATCACAATCATCGGAGTGTTTAAAGAGGGGGCCAGAGGGGCCCGGGCCCCGCCCAAAGCAGGCTACATTCGAATAAAAAAACACAAAAATGTCGGTTCATCCAGTCTTATTTAATATTCATAGAAATCTATCATTTAATTATTAATATATGATGATTGTTTTATGCTATACGGTGTGAATATTTTATACACTGAAAAACTCGTCGAATCGTTAGTTCATACCTAAAGTGGATCCACGAACAGTTGAGAAGAAGAATATTATTCTCTTCGACCGCCGGTCAGGCTGACCGGCGATCGTGTTCCCGTTTCCGTTCATATAATCGCAATTATAATCGGTGGCGATCACGTGGCTGCCAAATGATCAGCGTTTACTGTTCAGAGTGTTCAGTTAGCTGTAGACTGTAGAGTCGCTGAGTTAGGTAGTTGGTGGCGGTGGTAACTTTGCATGAGTAATCTCGAGTCATATCAAAACAAGAACTAAGAGCTGAAATAATGATGTGGCAAAAAATACGGACAAATAAACCAGATTTGCCCTCTACAGCAATCGAAGCACTTTGTTTTGGGGCGAGTTTGTTCCCTGGAATAAAGATTTTACTGCAAATATTTGTGACCCTACCCGTATCAACGGCAACAGCGGAAAGGAGCTTTTCAACCATAAAGCGTTTGAAAACCCACTTGAGGTCAACCATGGGTGAAGAGCGTTTGAATGGTCTAACTTTACTTAATATTCACAAAGAAGTTGATTTGAATATTGAAAATGTAATAAATAGGTTCGCCACAAGTGAAGCCAGACGAATATGCCTCGAAGACTGGTAAGGTTAAAATAATTGATAAAAAAATTTATAAGTGTGCTATTTTCCATGTTTGTTCATTGCTCAGCCAAAATAAAAAAGAATGGTTGTTCTGGTGTTGTTTCGTTTAATTATATCGGTCAATGTATCAAAACAAATTTTTGCAACATTTTTTATTTCAGCCTCGGCCCCCCTAAAGCGAGATTCTAAACACGCCAGTGATCACAATGTACCACACATTTTTTTCTATTATATGAGTCAAATAGAAATATGATTTTCTTGTGATTTATCCATGTTTAGTGAAAAGAAGGAAGAATATAACTAAAAATAATGGCGTATGTAATGTCATTCAAAAGCAATCGTAGACATTTGACATCTCATATTTGGATTGACTATTGATTAAAATGGCCGTCATCTGTTATGCTTGTTCAATCGTGCTTGTTCACAAAATATGAAAAACTCCATAAAAATCATATTTCCTGTTGAATTTTCTATATAAAAATGTGTCATTGAAGTGTTCAATGACAAAATAAGAAGAGCAAGTAGCTGTAAATGCATCCAACACAAGGGGAAAAAGAAGGCGAAATTTCGAACTTTTTCTTGAAATATCTTGATAAATAGTGGTTGGTTCACATTTTCATTATCAAATTCGTGTTTTTCAGACAAAAATACGTGAGTACCAAAAAAATTTTTCGAAAAAAAACCCAACGCATGATAAGTGCAAAATTACCGAAATTTGTTCACATTCTTTATTTCCTAACTTTATATTTGATCTCTACCAGTAAAAATATAAACACCCAGATATTATTGAAGAAGGTAACCAAATACTCTGAATGTAAAATGCAAGTTGAATACTGTCCAAAGCTCTAGTTCGATCTGGAGTTACTTACAGCGTTTTGATGGGCATATCCTTGCTGCCCTTGCTGGTTGCCACCGGAAGATAAGAGCCCGCCCAAAAGCTTCTCGGCAGCCCCACTTTTGATAGCTCCAGCCAGCATATTCTGTGCCGAATCCAAAAAGCTGTCAAAACCGCTTTCAGGATTTGCCTAGGAAAAAATAAAAATCGAAATTGCATCAGGAATGTATGTATTCGTGGTCGTCAAAGTCATATAACGTTGTGATGACATTTAAAACTACAGGAAAACATGCCTGACTTTCAATATGCTAGATGAGTTAGGATGTTCCTCCGTTGTTCTGAATGTCATCACATCATCTAATGACCTTGGGCGAATTCAATTTATTTTGAGGACTACTCAGTGACGGCTCGTCAGGGTCGGCTGGGCCGTACCAGCAAATTTGAGAAAAAAAGCTGAACAATTTGATGAATAAAATTATTTTTTGAAACTGTTTTCGATATTCAACATTTTTATGCTACTACTATGCCACTATTATTTGAATTTCATGCACTGAAACTCTTGGGTAAGCCATCCGAATATACACCGGAAAGTACGAACTAATTCAGGACCTACGACATCTGGTTATCCCATCGTCAAAACACCGCTTTACGTTGAAACGCTCGAGTTACACTACACTACTCTATCTTATAGATAGATATAGTGTTAATTTTATCAACGAAGTTATTGATAAATTTGCTCGAGACAACTTTTTCAATCAAACTTTTTCGATATTCGAACAAATAAGCCTACTTTCAGCGATTAATTTGAAAAAATGTCACTTTTGACATGTAGCGAAAGTCACGTGATTCCGATTGAGTAGGCCATTTTTCATCTTTTTGGAAGCAAAACTCAAAGTCCAACTCGAATTCCAAAATAAGTCATTAATAAAAGTTTTTCCCATATGATGCCGACTTTATGAATGACACTGTATAAGAATGCCATTTTTGTTTGAACAAGATTATGATTATTATCACTTGCAATTTTTCATTGTAGTCTTGGCTGTAAACAGAATACCTATGTGGTGTCAATTCAATTAATTTCCTTTTTTTTATTCCATGTTTTATGTAGAATAATAGTAGATCATATATCGAGAGAGTAAAGTGCATGATTTTTCCAGAGGTGGTTTTGTAGCCAGAGGGTGCTACAATGCACTGAGGGAAGAAATACCTCACTTCCGAGGTTTATACAGTGTGTCCCACTTACCATGCTCACCATGGGTATCTTTTTGACGGTGAGAGATACGAGGTCGGTTAAATGACACCAAATGTGGGGTTTGTCAAGGCCAACTATAATGTGAACAAATATTTTGATAAAATCTATTCGTTTTTGTTTTATACGCAAAAAACAGATTTTGATCATTTTCATGTCTCCTCCGTAACTTCTTTATTTATGAAAATATTCAAGAAGAAATTTCACATTCTCATGGCAGTTTTTCGAAGTGATTTCGAAAAAAATATAAAATTTACACCAACTCTTTTAGAATTTGAGAAATCAGCACCAACTTAAGTTTTTCAAATGTAGGCCATAGCTCACTATAACTTAGTTACAAATAACTTTTTTTTCTCTTTCAGATGATATGTCGCAGTAATAGTTTTGTGTTGATAACAACGGAGTTATCGTCATTTATACAAAAACAAAAAATTATTTGGAAGCCGCCATCTTGAATTTATGAATTATAACAAGAAAATCATGATCTCCGACCTCAAAAATCCTCACTTACCAATTTTGAATGGAATCGGATCAAATCTTGTCCGCCATCTTGGAGCAGCCATTTTTTTTTAATTGATGGCGGACAAGATTTGGTCCGATTCCATTCAAAATTGGTAGGTGGGGGTTTTTGAGGTCGGAGATCGTGATTTTTTGTTTAAATTTACAAATTCAAGATGGCGGCTTCCGAATATTTTTTTTTGTTTTTGATTAAATGACGATAACTCCGTTGTTATCAACACAAAACTATCACTGCGACATATCATCTGAAAGAGAAAAAAAAGTTATTTGTAACTAAGTCATGGTGAGCTATGATCTACCGTTGAAAAACTAAAGTTGGTGCTGATATCTCAAATTCTAGAAGAGTTGGTATGAATTACATATTTTTTTCGAAATCACTTTGAAAAACTGCCATGAGAATGTGAAATTCCTATTCAAAAAGTATAAGTATAACTTGAATATTGTATGTGATGTGACGAAAAATATGGCATTACAAATTTCGGCAGTCCAAGAGCCAAGTATTGAAACATAGTAATAAGCTCTGGTGATGGTGAATATTATTTATTTTCAAAGACCAATGTAGTGGTAATAAATGACACTTGACGATACACGGTGGTACGGCTAGCCGACCAGGAAGGAGTGGTGCCTTTGGTGTGTTGTATTTGAAGTGGTTGAAAATAGTTTATAGGGACTTCATATTTAGCGGAAAATAATAAAAATAGTCATGGCGAGCATAACAGAGGTAGTATGATCTGGTAAGCCAATTATTATCATTTCATTAAAAACAAAAGAATGAGTTTTTTTTGCGGAAATTATGATGAATAATTGATTTCTTGTCTTGTTTCTTGAAATATTTTGGACATACATATAGAATGGAATTCCTCACTGTTTTTTTTGTGGGAGAATAAAATACATAGCAGGATTTTTTTCTGGATGAGTCAAAATTAAAAATACTCAGGAACTGAAGAATCTTGGATGTAACTTGATATTCAATAGAAATAGACTTCAGGGACATAACCTACTCATATTTTTTCGGAAAGACTTGAAGTGTCAAATTCACTAGCCTAAAATGATGTCCACTCACCCCAGGGGGTACCGGTGGCCCATAGCCTTGCGGGGGCATCCCATAACCGCCGGCGGGAGCCCCGTACCCTTGCTGAGGCCCCCCATAAGCTTGCGGCGGCGCCCCATAGCCTTGAGGCCCCTCTGCATTGACTTGGGAAGCCCTAGACTGGCTTTCTGAGCCTGACACCCCCATGATGCCTTCCCAGGATATGAGGGTAACAGAAACTTCACCATCTATGAGCAGCTGATTGACCTGACTGAAAGGAATGCGGTGTGGGAATTCACAAAAGTGTTGACCATTGACTGCCACCTAAAAAAATATGGTTACAAGTCATATTTTTCGGGAAATGTGGTTTGGGATATTCTCTAGGTTTAATCATCAGTGAAATTAGTATTTTTTGAATACCTTGTAGTCTTTGTGATCTACCAAAATGATCATTTCCCATGACTGAGCATTGCCTATGGGCAATTCACCATCACCTTGTTCATCACCCCATTCTCCATTGCTGAAAGAGTTTCTGGCAATGTAACCCTGATTGAGACGAACAGAAATGTGCAAAGCAGTGTCATCTCTGGGGCTGCTGTTTGGGCCCACTTGCAAATTGATGTTGAATCTGGAAATAATAGGCCTTCATTCTTGTCCCAATCATTTTATCCCTATCTCCTCCACCTAATTATTGTTTATAAACAGAAATTTCATCACAATATAGGTAGTTTTATAAGAATATAAATATAGGAGTATAAATACCTACATTTTCAAGGAGGAGCTATTGAAGTTAAAGGTCAGGTCAACTTAATGATAGGTTATTAACAATGATAGGATCATGAAACTATTTTGATCAATGAGTAATGAATTCAGTATTTCTTGGAAAATCAATGGTAATAAGGCATATATAACAAAATTCCATGATTACATACCTGTCAGCTTCAGGGAGAGTCACCCCCTGGATTCTACACATTTTTCCAGCTTGCAGTCCTCCAGGTATCTCTCCATTGTAAGGAATTTCCTGCAAAAATCAAGATTAATATCGCATAAAAACATTTCAAGAAACAAGATTTTCACAATTTTCTTGATCTACTTACAGGATTTACAATGGGAGCCACCATATTCTGAAAAACTGAAGAAACGAAAATCTATAAATTCACGGCAATCTAGCTGTTTAGCTTATTTCAGTTATTTTCGTACTCGTACACTATTTTGAATCAAATGAATTTTGATTTCGAGGTCATGGCTAGGTGGAGGGGCTAATTATAAAAATTCTTAGAAATTCAACACTGATGATGTAACCATTATTTACGAATGCAGATAATTCAAGATTATTGACAAAGGCAACCCGTACTACGAAATATTGAATTTCGGGTTGCCTATGATGAGAGAGAACAGTGATCTGATGGATGGACACAGTGGCGTAGGTTGAATATTACTAAATAGAAACCTTGATTATATACACTTGAATACTCAATTATAGAAATCAAGGAAACCAAAGAATTAATCATAATGACATTAGTTCACTTGAATAAATGTAATCTATACTGTTGATTACATAATCGGTAATTTTGCATTTATCAAGTGATGGTTTTTTTTTTCGGAATTTTTTTTTGGTACTTATACGTATTTTTGCATCAAAAACACGAATTTGATAATGAAAATGTGAACAAACCACTATTTATCAGGATATTTCACGAAAAAGTTCTAAATTTCACTTTCTTTTTCCGCCTGTCTTCGGATAGGCATTTACTGATTTACGTCAGCTACTTGCTCTTATTTTGTCATTGGACACACTTCATATACCTACTCATGATCACAATATACTTCAATAACACGTTTTATATAGGAAAATAAACAAGCAATTTGATTTCTTCTTGAGTTTTTCATATTTTCTCAACAATGATACCAGCTGAGAACCATTTAATTTCAGATGTCAAATAGATGTCTAATGATTATGAATGGAAATAAACTTTTAGAAAAATTGCTCTGAGTAACGTTGAACAAATTATTTTTTCCACCACTAGCTATAAAACCTACCATTCTTTACTCCTTTTCGAGGCGTAAAGTGCTGTGTTTTTACTGCCAAGGTAGTTTTTGTCATTTTATGAACCACTATTCGATAAAGCCATAGCAATAAGCTCTCTATCAACCATCAGGATGAGATCAGTTTCTCGTATTTGTATCAATAAAATTATAAATTATATAGTTTGTGTCGGCGAGATGTAAGCAAAGCAAGAATAATTTGATAGCAATGTAACGAATGTTTGCAAATTTAGCTTTACTTTATTGAGTAACGTATATTTATGTGTTCTTTTTGAAAGTGCCTGATGAATCTTTCGAACCATTCCCATCACATGATTTGTTGAGATTCGTGCTTTTTGATGATTATATCTTGCAATAAAATTGTGAGGGCTGAGTTTGGTCAGGGTTTTATTCTGGTCCACTTAGCATGGCGTCAGCCCAATGTGATCGTTTATAGTGATTTAGGCTTTCAAGAATGTATTTCCCTCCTCTCGAGACCTCGAGGGTCTCGTTAATAATCCTTTTTCTACGAGCGAATGAGCATGCGTCCAATGTATCACGTGATTCACTGTGAATAATCTGACAATGAGGTTTGGGAATGGTTCGAAAACTTTATGCTCTCGTTTCTCTCTCACCCAACAAGAATCTTAATAATTTTTTTTACAAATCCTCTGAATTACGAAGTCCACATGTGTACATTGCAGCGATGCAACATTCGTGATATCGTAGTGTTGCCTCATCATGACATATTAGAGATGTCATGTCGCAGATGTGTCCTGGTACTACTTTTCAGTGTTACTTTTCCACTCAAGATGCATGGATTGCCTTTCGTGAACCACGCTCAACAATTTTGAAACTGCTGAAAACGATTACCGATCCAAATAAATCGAGAAGTTCATCTCGCAACCCCATTGCAGCGCCCATGATCATTGCTATTCATCTACCCACACTACCTTGGTGACTCATGCTGTTAACTTGAACAACGAGTTCCAAGAACACGAGCCGAACGGTCCGCTTCGCGCCAGCTCGTGCTGTCTCCCGTTGTCATTGGCCGAAACCTGTGTGGCCACTGGCCAACAGATATTTCTGTCGGTGACATCATCACATCCAGTCGGTGGTTCTAAGAAAGGGTTTCCCTTCGAGTGACTCATTCGTCGTGTTTTTCTTCTTGTAGTTCGGTCGTTTGTAAGCACTTCGAACTCCTCGAAGAGTTTTCGTAACTCAATCGGTCGTCGGATACGCGGAAACAAATAGTGGGCCTTGGAAGCCGAAAAAACGGCAGCTGTTTGGACACCACGAATTCAAGGTTAACTCGATTGGCTTGTGTTTGTGTTTTACAACAAGATGAAGTCGAAAGCAAGTAATAATATGAAGTCTGATCTGAGCGATGGGATGTCAAACCATTCGGATTTTTCGAACGACAGCCAAAGTTCTCATGTATCGATAACTACGGCTGATATCTTGGCGAACATAGGACAAGCGGGTGTATTGTTAACCCCCACAAGTGTAAGTATTTTGTTATTTTGTCACCATTTTATGTTTATTATTCTTTCATTATTATAGGTTATGTTCGACGAATTTTGGGTCTATAAACGTCAAAATATTTCTGTTTTGTTTTATCAGATCACATCCTCCTCTTTAAAGAAGGCTGTGGTTTAATTAATTTTCGTTATTGTTATTCACCTGTTCACTATTTCACAATGCAATCAGCTCGGCCCACAATTTCAGCTGTGGTTTCAGTTGATGCTGATTTCATTAAATTTGTAAGCATGTTTTCAAATGACGTTCAATTTAATTAATTCAGTAGTAACTAGTGTAACAACTTGACGACTTGACATTTGGTCTGAGGCACTGCCAAGATCGTTCCAGTGGCGGGTACTTGGTTATGATGAGTATTTCAGATATTTACCTCGTGTAAAATCTATGATTAATGAGATCAATAAGATGACATTTTGCACTTCCAAAACTACAGACGAGGGAAGCTTACCAAAATCGCAGTGACATCACTAAGCAGTTCTTTTGTTCTTTCTCGACTCGAGGTAGTATACCGGGCGAGACAATAAAGCAATGAGAGTGGAGAACATGAAACATAATATAATAAAGACTTACTGATACTTACTGATACCTACTGCCGAGAATATTACAGATGAATGTGAACGACGTAGTACTCAATGAGGTTGCTAGCCCCCTAGCTGTACTCTCGATATTATTCCCTGATAGTTGTAACGTTGTAACATGGTTGTAACCCATGATCAAGTCCATGATCATATACATAGTCAGTAATGCATTATATTATTGTTATCTATTCTTCAACGATTAGCTAGTGTCAACCTGAAACGACCTGAAATAAGTATAGAGCGAGGTATAGAGGCTCAACATATCCCGTCAGATGTGGAGACGCAATGACAGTTCCTGTCATGTCATCGGCTCGCTTATACTGGGTGTCTCGCTGGGTGAATCTAATATTTATTGATGAAAATGATGAAATAATAATGATGAAATAAAATTGCTCGGGAAAAAGAAATAGGAAATAGCGTAACACGAAATAATTTCCCGAGGAATTTCTATCATTTTACTTTCAAAAACGAAGTTTGATGTATCGGTATCGCTGTTACCCGGGGTGTTGGTACAACCCTCGGTGCAACCTATAAAACAATAATTATTATTCGAATGCTCTTCATCCAGAAGACGGAGCAGATGACCAATCATCGGTAAAATCTTGGTATAGTATAGGTAATAAAAAATATAGTGATATAATACAGTGATATGCTATAAGGCATTAGGCATTAGTAAACTATTATCTGAATACCTAGCTTCCACCGAGCCTACCACCTTTTACTGATGTGTGGAAGAAAACTGAGTTGGAAAATGTCAATATACCTGAATTATTGTTTACTGGAAAATACCAAAATACCTGAATTATTGTTTACTCGTAGCTTTATCTACCGATACACAAAAGCAAGTATAGGCATGACAAAACCTCTAACAAAACTTATCATTTTATTTTCGGAACACTCATAAGAACATAATATATATCAAATTCACTCTCGACTTTAAAAAATAATGAGAAATAAGTAGTTTCCCCGAAATTGAACCTTCCTAAAAAGTTGAAGCTGGAAAATCCAAAAAAAAGATCATCAGGATTCAAATAACTACTGATGGTTATATTTGTTCAATGATAAAAATTTGTTATCTTAAAATCCATCATCAAGTTTTGTCGCAAAAATGTATGGCTTATCTAGAATATTTGCCTAGCGTATACCTCTTCATTATTTCTCATAATAATCTGATTGCAGATATGAAGTAAAAAGTAGGAATTCCCATAATTATGATATTTGGATCGTTTCATACTCGGTCTCATACTATCACTACCTCACTAGGAAAGTGGTCTGATATTTCCTGATGTATAATTCTAATTATGACATTATAATAATCAATAATACGGCCATGCTTGAATTAAAGTTAATTCAATCTATTTATGCAAAAACAAGAATCATAGGTTGAAATTCTAATTACAAAAAGGTATCAGGCTTGTTCTTTTTGTTTCGTTCGTCAATTCATTATTTTGATGTAACATTTTCGGAAATTTCCTTCGAATTTTTCCTAAAACGCTCAAATACACATTTTCTCAAAATATCTGGAAAACCGTGTGGTTTTTACTGAGGTCAAGACGGGTCAAGATGTGGTTTTCTGATAGGTAATGAACTTCGGAACTTGTTTTTCACCAGCTAGAGTATATTATGATCCATGGATTACTGGACGATTCGTTCAATATGTACTGAAAAAATTCGAAAAGTATCATCTTTCTTCAACTCTAGAGACTTATTTTTCAATATTCAATTAAAAGAAAGTTAAATCTGATACTCCTGATCATCTTGGTCTCAAAATGTTTAACTGTCTTCCAGAAAGAATAAAAAATGTTCATTCAAATTAGAAGTGGAATGTTTTTTATTGGAAGAATGTTTCTATTGTATAAACGATTCTATAGATATAAATCCTGTGTGGAATGCAGTTTGTACATTAGTTCTTTCCTTTATATCAGAGATTATTATGTATTATTATATTATTACTATTTTAAATCTTGTACTTATATCTTATTTTAATTCTCTATTCTATATTTTACTGAATTATTCCAATACATGTATAATACCATGTCGAAAATAGTACATTATGTAACAAGTGTTATTAACGTCCTTTTAGTAATGAGTATTTTAAGCACGAGCGGAGCAGAGCGGGGCGAGTGTTTAATAAACGAGTGCCTAGAAGAGTTTATGAACGCGTTACATACTATGCTTTTTCTACGAACTCCGAAAGTTACATTAACATACCTGCAATTCCTGCTAACCTACATAATAATCCGGAAGGAATGGGAATTGAGAACATAATACATGCAACTGCATGCAACCAGCGAGACACGTATAAGTGATATTAGTTGTAGATGTGTCCAGTCCATTGCTTACTAACCTTTGTTTCACGCTTATTGTCATGCTTAGCGCAGAATAAATAAATTTTTCTCAAAGATGGATGCTTCATTTTACACTTCTTGGAGATATGCAAGTACCAGAACATTCTCTTCGATTTCACTTTCGTCTACATTTCGCATATTATATTTTGAATGAAGAATTCTGATACAAAATTTGAATATAACAGTTGACAGTTAATACAATCGACAGGCCAGACATGTATGGAACGCCGTTTTACTTTTTATTACCAATTCGTTGTAAATTATAAATCAGACATTTAAAATGTTTCATATTTATTCCCGGTGCAATTGAAACTATTGTTGATTTAATATTGTACATTATTTTGTTAGATGCACACAAGAGTTGCAAGAGTTGCATTGGTTTATAAATAATTTCCACCAAACATTTAAATACCTATAATTCTGAGGACCAACATCAAAATAGCATCAATCATAATAATTCATGTAACATTTGTATTCATCAATCGAAAAAATTTGTATTCAGAATTAAAATGATTGTTGAATTTAATTGTTTGACGCTTAAAATGTTGTCCACAAATAATTTTATTCGTTTGTCGTTTATATTTCAATCATGAATAAAATTGTTTGATGATTTTTTTACAACAATCTTTTCAAATCGTTCATCTATTTAAAACGATTGTTGCAAAAATATCATCAATCGTTTAAATTCATGTAACATTTTAATTCATCAATCAAAAGAATTCCTACCTTCGAAGTTGTTTGAATTCATTTGTTTGACAATAATTACTTGAACATTAAATTAGTGAGTTAAATTGTTTGAATTTATTTGTTTGATGATTATTACATGAACACCATTTATAGATTGGTGAATTGAATTGTTTTAATTGTTTTGTTGGAATTTATTTGTTTGATGATAATTTCATGCACCATATTGATTGGTGAATTAAATTGTTTGAATTGTTTTGTTTGAATTGTTTTGTTTGAATTGTTTTGTTTGAATTGTTTTGTTTGAATTTATTTGTTTGATGATAATTTTATGCACCATATAGATTGGTGAATTAAATTGTTTGAATTGTTTTGATTGAATTGTTTTGTTTGAATTGTTTTGTTTGAATTGTTTTGTTTGATGATAATAACAAATCAGTTCGGCGCGCGCAACTAGTAGGTGGCGCCTGGGCGCTCCTGGCCAATGGAAAACGGAGAAGTGAACTAAATTTTGGCAACAGTGTATTTGCTTCCATTTGTCATTTGTATTTTGTTTACGTTTTTATATAATTTCCAATCATCAATATCCTAAAACAAATTAATCTTCGGAAATCTGAATGTTCTTTCAGTTTTCGAACTGTGAGTTAGTTATTTCTATTTCCAAGCCGAATAGGTAGCAAATAAACAAAATAGTTGAAATGATATAGATGGAGGATTGATCTGAGGTAATGAAAGTGCCCTTTTGATGTTCATTTCTCCTGGATTTTTGACAAAATTTCTCTCATGGTTGAAATGAGGAGAAAAATGTTCAATATCCTGCTCAAAATTGGGAAACACACAACGCAGTAGGTCATCTAGGTATGTTAGTGAAGAATCTTTTTGGTTATGACAGCTTGTAGGTTCTGATTTTAGGGCTAGCAAAACGGTTCACTATACTTAAATATATTATATATATGGAAAAGACAGCAATACTTCCAGTCTACAGTTCAAAAACATGACAAGTGAGCTAAGAAACAAAATAAATATGTTCATGATGGAACACTGCAGCCAGCACAGGTTTTATCCTATTCAACACCTAACTCAGCACTTCTTATGTACACACAGAAATGCTGATTGTTATTTCAGCAATGCCAATGCATAGTACTTTCATAGAAATGACTATTTAGAGGTCAAGCATAAGGTTCAAGGATTAAAAGGTGAATTCAACAGTTTAGTTTCCTGTTACCTATTTTGTAATTTTCAGCTACTTTATGGCTAAAGGGTAATGGGAAATATTTTGATTTTAGAGCTATCACAAAGGATTTACAATGAATATATAATACCAAAGGCAACATTACAACTAGTGAAGAGTATGGAA